AACCACGGGGTTCGACTGCGCTGGCGTTGACGCGTCAGCTGCCCGCGTAAGGTCGCGCGTGAGCGGCTTTGTCTTCAATGTGGCGTGCCGCGCCGGCCGCCCGCGAAAGCCACCGTGGAAGGTCGATCTGTCATCTCGCGTGCAGTCAACCCGCATAGCAAGGATGAGCGACTTTCCCAGGTTACCCTTGCATCCTTCCCTTCGGCCCATCCTTGGCCGCTTTCGCTGGCCGCGCTCGCAAAGTGTCGCCATGGCCTTCCAAGGCCCTTGCATTCTTATTGTGCGTCCTTGCTATCGAAGACGCCTACGGCGAATCACCGCCGCCCCCTGCCTTTTTGGAAACGCCGATGTGGCCGAAAGTTGGACTAGAGCTTGGCCAAGCTATCGGACCATGAGTTCCCCGAGTCGGTTTGGAAAGCTTTCGGGGAACACATGGGAGAGAATGATTATGAACAGGAAGAGGAAGAGGAAAAAATAGAGTAGGAGGATGAGGGTTGTTAGGAGTCTCTTGGGGCACCCTTGGGGTCTGTTGGGGGCTTCTTGGGGGCCTCTTCGAGGCCTCTTGGAGGCATCTTGGGGGCCTCCTTGGGCCTCTTGGGGGCCTTTGGGGGCTTCCTGGGGGTCTCTTTGGCCGTCTTAGGGCGTTCCTGGTCCGTCTGACGCCGTCTGGAGCCGTCTTGGGGGCCTCTCTGGGCCGTCTTGGGGCCCTCTTGGGGCGCTTCAGGGCCGTCTTGGAGGCCATGTTGGGCGTCTTGGAGGCCTCTTGGGCCGTCTTGGGGCGCTCTTGGGGCCGTCTTGGGGGGCCCTTGGGCCGTCATAGGGCCTTCTTGGAGGCCTCTTGGGCGATCTTGGGGGCCTCTTGGGCCGTCGGAAGGCCGAAAAGAAGAAAACGCAAAAAACCTTCAAAAACCTAAGGAAAACCAATGATTTTGGCCTCTTCGGGCTCTCCTGGAGAACGTCTTGGAGGCCTCTTGGGCCATCTTGGAGGCATCTTGGGGCCATCTTGGCCGTCTTGGAGGGCATCTTGGGCCGTCTTGGAGGCATCTTGGAGCCATCTTACCCGTCTTGGAGGCCATCTTGGCCGTCTGGGAGGCATCTTGGAGGCCATCTTGGGCCATCTTGGCCGTCTTGGAGGCCATCTTGGGCCAAGTTGGGGCAACAAAGGCATTGACAGACGGATTTTGGGAAAATTACGGGTGGCCGGCGGGACGGGCCGAAGCCCACTGGGGAGTTCTTTTAGAAAAAGAACCAAAACCAAAACCTGAAACATCCAGCACGCCGAGACCACAGGGGGCGGCGGATCCAATGGCCTTCGGCCCATCCTGCCACCGTGCCTGGGTTGTGGGTATGAAGCTTATTGGATGTTCGTCAGGATCTCGTGGGAGGCCTCTCGGGGGCGTTTTGGGGCCTCCTGGGCGCCTCTTGGGGCTGCCTGGCGGTCTCCTGCGGCCTCTTGGGGCGGGAAGCTTGATTTTTCAGTTCGTGTTCCCTCTCTTGCCGTCTTGGGGCCCTCTTGGGCCGTTGTGGGTCCCTCTTGGAGGCCTCTTGGGCCGTCTTGGGGCGATCCTGGGGGCCTCCAGGGCCGTTTGGGAGCGTCGGGAAGCCGAAACGGCCAGAACGCCACAATCCTTCACAAACCTCGAGAACAATCAATGATTTTGGCCTCTTGGGGCCCTCTGGGGAGGCCTCTTGGAGGCCTCTTGGGGCGTTTTGGAGGCCTCTCGAGCCGTCTGGGACATCTTGAGCGTTGCAGAGCGATGATTCGGGGCCCTCCTGGACCGTCCTGGGGTCCTCTCGTGGCCCTCTCAGCCCGTCTTGGGGCCCTCCCGGGCCCGAACGGAGGAGGAGGAGGAGGAGGGGGAGGAGGAGGAGGAGGAGGAGGAGGAGGAGGAGGAGGAGGAGCAGGAGGAGGAGGAGGAGGAGGAGGAGGAGGAGGAGGAGGAGGTCACGCGGCACCGACGCGGGGGAGCCCCATGGGGGCGCGCGGGACGCCCCAAAGGGGGCGCGCGGCACGCCCCGGGAGATCTGTGAGATTTTGGGGTCTCCAGGGCCCCTTTTCGTGGCTCCTCCTCCTCCTCCTCCTCCTCCTCCTCCTCCGCCTCCTCCTCCTCCTCCTTTCGAGGGTTACAGGGCAGTTTCTAATACACGCTCCGCGTGCGGATCATGTATCAAAAGTGCAGGGATTCAGCATCCAAAACAGCGATGAGTTCAGGCATGCATTTATTCATACATTACCCCAGTGCGACCCTACCTAGAAGTTGGAGCCCCTAGGAAAGCAGCATTAGTTTCTATGCTATGCTATGCTATGCTATGCTATGCTATGCCATGCTATGCCATGCTATGCCATGCTATGCTACGCTATGCTATACGGAAGGCACTGCTTGCGGGGGCTCCGGTCCGGCCATCGAGGCTAGCTCGGCATCTGTCGCACATTGCTTTGTCTTTGCCTGTCTTTTGCTTTGCTTTTGCTTTTGCTTTGCTTTGCTCTGCGTTGCTTGTGCTTTGCTTTGCTGTCGCTGCTGTTGCTTTGGCTTTGCTTTGCTGCTATGCTATGCTATGCTATGCTATGCTCTGCTATACTATGCTATGCTATGCTGCGCTGTGCTATGCTGTGCTGTGCTGTGCTGCGCTATGCTATGCTATGCTATGCTATGCTGCGCTATGCTATGCTATGCACTATGCTGGGCTATGCTATGATATATTGTGCTGCGCTATGCTATGCTACGCTATGCTATGCTATGCTGTGCTCTGCTGTGCTAAAGCTCAGCGAAGCTAAGATGAAGGTAAGCTAAGCTAAGATAAACCTGAGCTAAGATGAAGCTAAGCTAAGCTAAGATGAAATAAGCTAAGCTAATATGAGTTAAGCAACGCAAAGCTAAGGGGACGTAACTGGGGGAACCGCGGGGCGGATGCCGGGGGAACCGCCCGGGGCGAGTTGCACTGCCCGGCCCCTTTAAGCTAACAGAGTAAGAGCCCTTCTAGGCAGAGCCTCGGTAGGGAATTCATGATGTATTAAAAGATCATATGTTCTTAAAAACATCTTATGTATCAAAAACTGCCCTGTAGGCCCAGGGCCCGAGGACACGCACACTCCGTGCCCAGCGGCACGGTGGCGGGTACGGGTGCACTGCGCCGCTGGAGTCGCTCCGTCGTCTCGCGTCAGACCCGTCTCCTTTCGTCGCCCGGGGGCGGGAAGCACCGACCCCCAAACGCCCATCCGTCGCTGGTGCGGGCCTGGTCATCCCACCCCGCCCAAGGATGGCGCGGCTCTGCTGTCGGGGGACTGCGTGTCGCTTCTCTGGGTCGGCGATGCATCGCCGATGCCAAGTCGGCGGCGAGCGAGGCGGGGAAGTGAGAAGGAGAAGGCCTTCTCTCAAGGCGGCGGGACTTCTCGGAAGCCCTTGCACCTTCTGAGAAATTTCCTTTGTCTTCGGGGAAGGCTTAGAAAACTCTTCAGAAGGCCAGAGGACTTCCGATCCTTCTCAGAAGGCCCGCCCCTTCTCGCTTCTCCCCCGGGCTCGCCGCCAACCAAGTCAATGCTCACCCCGTTGGGCCGTCCCCCCCTTTCGGCCCCCCTTAGAAATATCTCGGTCGCCACGGCAGGATTCTCTCGAAGTTCTGGCCCGAGCGCCCCCGAGGAGTGATCCGGGGGCAGAACTCTCAGGCTCGCCAGGATCGGGTGTTGCTAGAAGTGCCCCCAGCCCAAGATGCCCCCAGGATTTCCGAGGAGGCCCCAACGGCCTCCAGAGCACCCTTCACGAGGCCCAGGTGGCCGAGGGTCTCCAAAATGGAGCGAAAAGCTGGGGGCACCTTGGGTCAGGGGCACCTTTAGCAACCCCCGCCACGAAGGAGATGGGTCCTGAGGGAAAGTGGCCATGCAGTTGTCCCACGATTTTCGGCCTCCCGGGCCCTCTCTGGGCCATGGGGCCGTTCAGAAGCAGCTCGGGATGAAGAGCTGGTCCCGGGGAGGGCTTCCGGGTCCAGGATCAGCCGGCAGGTCACGGCGTTTGACTGACCGCCTGTGTCGGCGGAGTGAGGGGGGGGGGGAAGTGAGAAGGAGAAGGCCTACCCAGAAGGCGGCGGGGTTTCTTCAGAAGGCCTCCGGTCATCTGAGACGTCTTCTTGTGGCGTCGGAGAAGGAAGGACGGGGACTTCCGAGCCTTCTGAGAAAGGCCCGCCCCCTCCTCGCTTCCCACCCCGGCTCGCTATCGAGCGTCCCCCCGACAAATATCGGCCCCCCCGCCCGCACGCTTCGTGGCCCCAGTGGGGAGCTCCACCTGTGGCCCCAGTGGTAGGCTCCGCAAGGCGGCGCCGCCCATCTCGGCACACCCTTGCGACGATCGTGCCCGCTCTCCACCGGGAGCTCCACGTACGGCCCCGGTGGGAGGGTCTGCAAGGCGGCCCCGCCCATTTCAGCGGACCCCTCACGAATCGTGCTCCCTTTCCTCGCCGTTCCCAAGGCGTGCGCGGCAAGCTTTTGCGCAGCTCCTAGGCAGCGCTTTCTCGGCTCGTGCGCGAGCCCTGTGCAGCTCCTATCGGGTTGACCCAAAAGGGGGTCCAGCGACAAGGGGGTGGTGCAATAGATTTGGTGCAATAGGTTTGTGGGGTTGCAATACACTTTGGGCGTGCAATACATTCCGGGGCGCAAAAGTCTTGCTGGATTTTTGCGTGCAGTATACATCACTTGCAATCCCATCGCCCCGATTCTGTTGCACAACCCCCTTTCAGCTGGACCCCCTTTTGGGTCACCCGAATCTCAGACAGGGGCTCGCAAGCTCCTGGGCAGCTCCCAGGCCAGTGCGCAGCTCCTCCGGCACCTGCCGGGCAGGGCCTTGCGAGCACGCCTGACGGCGCACGAGGAGCGCCGCCGGCTGGCTTCGCGGCGTGCCGCACGCGTCCGCCCGTGAGCTCGAGCGGGGTCTCCAGAACGGCCATGCAGGCTACCGCACGCCCGTGTGTGTGTGTGTGTGTGTGTGTGTGTCATGCGTGTGTTTCTCAAC